TTTTAATTTAGTTTTCCAATGAAGCATGGCTGTGCTTAAGAATGTTATGAGACTAGGGTGTATTTTATAATGGTCCAATACATATAATAACCAACTATGGGGGACAGAATCAAATGCTTTCTTGTAATCGACGTACATCATATGGATGTTCCTATTTTTAGTTTGGGCTTGTCTCATTACTATTGAGTCTATGATTAATTGTTCTTTACAACCTTGGCTATTTTTTTTACACCCCTTTTGTTGTTCTGCCAGCACGTTGTATTCATTTAAGTGTCTGTAAATAATTTCGCTAATGCAACTTGTAATAATTTTATATATAGTTTGCAAGCATGTGATAGGTCTGTAATTTGCAGGATTTTTGGAGTCTGAACCTTTTGGTAGCATGTATGTGATTCCTTGTGTTATGAATGTTGGCAAAGTGTGCGGTGATTGAATGAATTTGCAAATGTGACTGTGGACGAATGGGTGTGTGCAGGTTAATTTTTTATACCAGTAATTGTGTATATTGTCGGTGCCTTCCAGTTATGTGTGCGATTGATGATCTGAATGAATGTGTCAACTGGGATGTTTTCAAACTCCATTTGGTTAATGTTTGATGTGTCTGCAATTTTTTGTAACCAGTCGGCATGAGTGTTGTGTTGTACTGGGTTTTCCCAAATGCCAGCCCAAAATTGATGAAGGTTTTGTGGTGAGGGGATTTCTGTAGTTTTTGATGTTATTTGATTATTATGTCCTAGGGTTCTATAAAACTGTTTTTCATTATTTATGAAGTTTCCATTTTGCTGTTTCCGTTTAGTACAATTTAAATATCTTTTAAGTCTATTTGCGGTCGCGTTTAATTTCTGTTTTAGTGTGTCAAGAAAATGTTGTGGTTCTGTGTTAGGTTCTTCGTGTTGTGAATGAGTTTTATATTTATTCTTTATTTCCTCTACAGTTTTTAGTATTCTCTGACTTCTATTTCCTGACATGTATTGTGTTAATCTTTCTATTTCTAATCTATATTTTTCTATTCTGCTTTCAATTCTTCTTTGCCACGCAGGCGTCCTATTCCGTTTATAAGTGGTTATACTATCTTCAGTGCTGAATTTAGTGCCGTTACAAATAGCAGCTGTATAGGCTGCTGAATATATTAAGGTGTGTAATGAACTAAAGTCTAATTCGTGGTTTAAGTGTTTCGGTAAAATATTGACATTTAGAAATTGAGTAATTTTAGCAAATTTTCGTGACGTCTTTTGTTTTGGAATATATGGTCTTGCTTCTGGATCAATTATATTGAAACGTGTAAGTGCTTTATTAAATTCTATTTCTATCCTATTACTATCTAAACTACTATTACTATCCGTGTTATGAATCGTGATGTTTTCATTCTGTGCATTAGTTGTTGTGCTTGTTTCAGTCAGTGTTAGTGTACAGTCTATTAGGCTTTCGTGTGTGTTGTGTGTTTGTTCAGTAATAGAATCGTTTAGGTTAGGTAAAATTTGGTTATTTTGATCTGTTAGCTTTAACTGTACTTCATGCTTTAATTTATTTATTCTGTTAGTGTATGTTTTATTAATGAATATTAGTCTTCTTTGATCTGCTATTCTCTGTTCAGTTAAATTAGATAAATTCGGATGTTTTTCTAAAAACAAATCATAAAGTTTTTTACGGTAGGCAGTCTTATTTGTCTCCAGTTCTGTTGCTTCAAGGTAGCATCTTATAACATCATCGTTCATTTCTTCCGTCCATTTCATTCTACTGTTGTTGAAAACATTTGCTCTATTGCGTGTTGTGTGATCGTCGTGACTATGTATCTGTGAATGGTTAAGGGTTTTATCTCCTATTTGCTCTTTTACTTCAAAAACTATCTCGTCTAACACAGGTTGTGGCAGTAATTTTCTTCTAATTATGGCTCTTTTTTGGTCTCCTAATCGTTGTCGAGTGGCATGCATGTCGGGATATCTATTGTCAAATTCTCGATGCAAAGCTTCTAAATAGTTGTTCATTTGTGAAGTCTCGCAGTTTGTTATTAAAAGGTATGTACGCCATATAAAACGGTTCATATCTTCAGTCCATTTCTTTCGCGTACGAGAAGGGCCAGCAGTGGGTACAGGGTTAGTGGCTAATGCCTCCTGCACAGCAGCCGTTGACCTTGTAGTTCGGGATGAATATGTACAAGTAGATGATAGTGATGAGGTGGGTGATCGAAATAAGCTATGGGTTGAAGACGGTGATGGTATATTAGAGAAGAGTGAATGTTCTGACTGTGTGGTACTAAGTGAGGGTGAAGGTAATCGCTCGGTTGATCGGCGTTGCATAGCATACGCGTTATTGGTGCTAGTGCTTGATAATCTTGCTGTTCTTCTTGTCATGTATGGAAGGCAAGTTTGAGGGATGGAAGAAGATAATGTTTTTGTATCATCGCCTGAAGAATCGGCTGTGACCTCAACGTCATGAGTCTGCCAGTTCAACTCATTACGACCGGCTGTAGCTTCTACGCGATGAGCCCGCCTGCTCAGCTCACCTCGACCGGCTGTAGTAGATTGTTTGGTGAGAGTCCGCCTGCTCAACGTCCCACCACCGATGGTTCGCATGCTGTGGCACCCAGCATCGGCTCCAGATGCGCCCCGGCGCTCCCCGGGAAGCGACCGTAAATTATACTTCTTCTTCTCAGTTTCCATAAGGTGCTCCATTGAATGGGTTTGGGATCGTTAGTTGGATAGGTGCTAGTATCAGGTCTCCGGCCACTCCAGAAGCAGAGACCCAACACAATGATGAGTTGTTAAGATCATAACCAGTACCCGATACCCGTAAGCCCCCCCACCACGGCAAGGTGATCCCCCGGGGGGGTTATTATTATTATTATTACTTTCATAGTATGTGACATGAGCTTTATTCCTCGATAGTAGTTGTATTCCTGAACATCTCCTTTATTTTTGAAAAATTGGTACGAGTTGGGTTTGATACCATTCCTTTGGGATTACCTCTTCAAGCAACAACATATTGAAGAATAGAGTCAGCCACTCATATCCGTCTTCTTTCAGTAGCTTCCAAACTTCCACTGGTATACCGTCGGGGCCAACTGCTTTTCCATTTTTCATACTTCGTACTGCCAATCTCACTTCATCTATACTAATCTCGTTCACCAGTCCGACATTCACATCCACATGCTTTAGCACTCCGCTCCATTTATTCTCTTCATTCATAAGTTTTTCAAAGTAAGTTTTCCATCGCCTTTTTATATCTTCATCTTTAACCAACACTCTCCCCTCTTCATCTTTTATACATCTCACATGCTTCAGGTCTTTTGCTCTTTCTTCCCTGTTCTTTGTAATGCGGTAAAGTTCTTTTTGACCTCTAGGTTCATGTACGTGTTTAAATATGTTTTATTGAGCTTCAGCTCTGGCTACCGCTACCGCTTTTTTTGCCTTTTTCTTCCACTCTTTATATTCATTCATTTTGTCTTCCTTCCTTCTCTCACAGACCTTTTCATTTTTCCACGCTTTAAAGGCATCCTTCTTTTCTTTTAGAGCTTTCTGTACCTCATCACTCCACCACCATGTGTCTCTTTCAATAATGCCTTTTCCTTTTGTTTCCCCAAGTACTTCTCTCGCTATCTTTCGTATATAATTTGCCATTTCACTCCACCATCCATCCACAGAATTATCTAGCCTTGCATTCATTTCAATCATTTTTTCTACCACCTTTACCTTAAAGTTACTTGCATACTCTTCTTTCTCTAACATTCGCCACCTGATTCTTGGAGAAGGTCGGTTCTTCCTACTCTTACTCAAACTCTTCCACTTGACCTCCATTACCAGCAATCTATGTTGCGATACTACCGGTTCCCCGGGCACCACTTTGCAGTCTCGGACACAAACCAACTTACTTCTTTTTATGAGAAAGTAGTCAATCTGTGTCGCGTGGCTACCACTTTTATACGTGATCAGATGTTCGTGACGTTTTTGGAACCATGTTTTAACTATTGCCAGGTCAAACGAAGAGGAAAACTGGAGCAGAGACTCACCATCAATGTTTCTACTTCCGAACCCCCTTCCTCCATGTACTCTTTCATAATCCTCATTCGTTGTTCCCACATGACCATTAAAATCTCCACCTATCAAAAGTTCTTCACTTTCAGGGATACCTATCAAAACCATGTCAAAATCGGCCCAAAATTTTTCTTTCACTTCATCCTTGCATCCAGCTTGAGGTGCATACACGCTAACAATATTCATAATTACGCTCTCCCATACTAATTTTAGTACTATTATTCTATCGTTCACTCTCTTTACATCCGTCACACACTCTTTCAGGGCACTATCCAATACTACACCCACTCCATTTCTCTTCCCATCACTTCCGCAGTAATAAAACTTGTACCCCTCTCCTATCTCTCTTGCTTTCGTACCCTTCCATTTTGTTTCTTGCAAGCATGCCACGTTTATTCTTCTTCTTTTCAACACATCTGCTAGCTCTCTCGCTCTTCCAGTCATACTCCCTACATTCCAACTTGCATACCTTAACCTCACCTCTCGGGCTTGCTTCTTACGTTGCACCCGCCTCGGGTGGTGCAACAACCCTTGTCCACTTATTCACGTAGCCGGGTGCTGCTGCCGCGTGTCGCCTACGGGGTACGCCCTAGCACTGTCGCACTCAATTTGTATCATACTATACTGCATTAAAAATGGTTTTGGCTAATTAATTTTATGGCCGGCCGCCTGCCTGTCGCCAACCCTCCTTGGGAATGTAGTCGTTTATACGATAGAGAAGGCAAAAAAGGAAACATCGGGGGTGAGAGGATTGGGTGAGAGAGGAAAATTAGGGTGGGGGAGTACTAGGATGGGAGACAGGACTTAGACTGCGGTATGTACCAATATACAACTATCTGACCTAAACCTTGCAAATCGTACATTTGAAAGTAATATTAAGAATTTCAAATAAAGAATGTAGATTAACGGACTTTGTCAGTTAACTGGTTAGGGTTTGTTCCTCTAAAACATTGTTTTTCTTTACAGATCATGATAATCCTTTTAGCCAGTATTCTGGCAGTGATTGTAGTAGGGATGATCTATCTTCGGCAAATACGCTCCTCTTTCACCAAGCATGGCGTTAAGCATGTTACTCCACTACCACTGGTTGGCAACATGGCCAATTTATACCTTGGCTTTGAACATTTTGCGGATCACATTACAAAATTATACAACAAATTCCCAAAGGAGAGGTAAGGTTATAGTGTGTGAAAGGACATTATCACACCGTCCATTTTTCTCGTCTATTATAATACTAGTAGTAAATAATAAACTCGTATACAAGTGTTTCTTTTGGGGCGTTTTTTGACTGTCCAATATACTCGTACATAAGAAGAAGAATTTCAAATCGTTCTCATTTCATCCATGTTTATGGTTATTTATGTATATATTCTGATTGCATCTTTTACCTTTCGTTTTCGTAGCATTATCTGCCTACTCTTATCCCAATTTTATTCGAGGTCGGCGCAGTAAGTATCATTCTTTCATTCTACTCTGTCATTCGTCATCTCACTGTTTACTCCATTCCTAGCCATATCCCCACTCACACAGTCCATCCACCATTTCTTTGGCCTTCCTCTTCTCTTGTACCCTTCAACTCCCATGCGTAACCCTTTCTTGGCCACATTTTCTTCATCCCACCGCATGACATGTCCATACCAAGATAACCTATTACTTCTTAACTTTTCATCCATCATTTCAACCTTTTAAATCATTTACATAAAATTCAACTTCTATATTCTACTTTTTAGGTTCATTGGAAGGTTTGAATTCATCAATGAGTACGTGGTTATTCGTGATTTAGATCTAGTTGAGCAGATTGCTTTTAAAGACCACGACTGTTTTGATCATCGCTCTATCTTAAGTGAAAGTAAATCTTTCTTTGCCAGGAATCTATTAGCTTTGAATGGTAAGTTTAAAATTAAACTACTTAACACTCTTATGTAAGTCATGCCACACCAATTGTTTAATAGGTGTGAAATGCGATGTTTTTTTGTGTAATACCAACTTTTGAAAACAAATATGAAAACAAAAGGATTGCACGGACGGCGTAGTGGTTTAAGCGGTCACCACGCCGCTTCCTACTGCGCCGAGTGTTGTGGGTTCAAACCCCACATGGGACGACACTTTGTGTGGTCAACAAATTGTTGTTCTGAGTCTGGGTGTTCTTTGTGTCCGTTTCATGTATGTTTGTAAAGTTCGCTGCGACACAGGATATATTCTTTTTGCGGGAGTTGTATTTTTTTAAAAGAAGAAAAAGAAAAAAAAATGTTCCGATGATTTGAAAACCTTTTTTAATTTTTAAAACTGTTTAAAAAGACTAAATTCTTTGTAGCTTCTCGATTAAGAAACTGTACTGTGCTATATTTCTGTTTCTTACTCGACCGCGCCAGAAGGATTGTTATATTTTTCGAGTGTATATCTTATGAATTTTTTTTTGCCACGTTTCTCTAAATTCTAAACGGGTCTTGGAAGGGCTTGGAAGGTCACTCGTTATAATTTTGACATTAGATATATAAAAACTATAAAAATTAAGTACTTACGTAAATGTTTCACGCAGTTAAGTTTTTTTTTTTTTTAATAATCAGCTTATTTTTTTATGGTTCTATACCATAAAAAAAACAAGCAGCAAGGGAGGGACAAACAAACACACGTGTCACCTGATGTTAAGTGACTATCACACAAGTCAGAAGTGCGTTGACACAGAATTAGGGAGAGGGGGATTTCGGGCCTTGGTACTTGGTACTCATTTGGTTTAAAGAAACAAAAAAACTGCTTAACACCGGTTTTCTATACGGCCGTGATATCACTCCGGTCGAGCCAGCCCATGTTTCGCCCACGGCAGTTAATTAACAAATTATAATACATACATTATCTGCCTCAGTGGCGCAGTGGTAGCGTATACAAGTACGACTGCTGCGCTGAGGTCTCGGGTTCGATTCTCGGGTCGGACCAAATGTTTGTATGATCTGCAAATATTTGTTTCGGTGTTTGAGCGTTTTCTATGTATAATGTGCATGTATTTACAAAAAAAAATATAGAAGTATTCTATCACTCAATGTAGATTTCAAAGTAAAAGCTCTGCTGAGTTTGAAACTAGATGGCGTTGTGTCAGATGTCCGAAATATTAATATTATAATTATACTGTCAGTAAAAATTAAGTAAGTAAGTAAACGTTTAGTTGAGCTTTTTGTCTCTCTGATTGTCAATTTCTGACATCACTGAGGTTGAGCCGGCCTATGGCTCTCCCACGGGCAGTTAATTGAAAAAATTATACCTACTACATACTGTCAATTTTTGATTCAGGACAAGAATGGAAGGCAATGCGAGCTATACTGAGCCCGGCGTTCACAAATAGTAAGATTCGTAAGATGGTGCCCCTAATAACCGAAGTTGGTGAGAACACAATTGAGTGGTTACAGAGAAAGATGAAGGAATCTCAAAGTAAGTATGTAAATGTGATCAATGTATACAATAGCATAAACAAAACGTATATTAGAATATACCACATTATAGAGAGAAATCATAAAAAGATTTGCAAGTTATTTTACTATTAATAATTTATTTATTTAACAAATCAGATTTTTTCCCACATAATGTTTGTATTGCACATCTGCAGATGATGCAGAATGTTTTTGTAATCTTAATTCTTTTCCAGAGACAGTTGTATTAAAGTATAGCATTTCTTATGGTGAAATCAGTGTGAATTGTGAAGATCTTACGGCGTGTTACGCCAATGATGTCATTGCTTCTTGCATCTTTGGCCTTAAAATAAACTCTTACACGGATCCAGAAAATCCATTTTACGCAAGAGGCAGAGAATCCATAACTCTGGGCCTGGGTAAAATGGTTGTTTATTTTCTAATGACAAATGTACCTGCCTTAGCAAAGGTAATTTTATGTATGAATGCAGCTATTTTGTTCCGATATTTGTATACTTGTTTGCACTTACATCTTTATTCCCAAAGGGAAAAATATCCGTGTGGTAATGGATTAAGAATACGGAGTGTCACCACCCCTATTCATCCCGTGGGTGTCATGAAAGCCAACTAAGGGAGCAAACTATGCAGGACAACAGCACTGCAAAGAGAAGGAAAACGAGAAAGAAACCCTATAGCAACCCGTTTGGCTAGCGTGGTAGTAAGTCAAAACCTCCTTTCTAAGGAGAGGCTTACGTCCAGCCAGTGCACTACTAAAGGCTGTTGATGATGGGTACCCAAAAGGCTTGTAGGAGCCATATTAAACGCCCACATTTTGCCGGTTACAATTTTAGTCCCACTTAAATAATAGGGGACTTTCGATTGAGCACATACATTTCTAAATAGATGGTGCTCATCACACAATATTTATCCTGGGTGGGAATCAAACCCAACGACCTCCCGTCAATATATTTTTATAAATTGTGATTAATTGGAGCTTATATTCGAGATAAGTGTACCCTACTCGGGTCGAAATATTTGATTAAGCTCAAATTTCCATTCTTATTAACCAAACCGAAAATCAAATAGAAATCAGTACACAGATAGATATTTTTACTTTATCGTCATCATGATCTTCCAGAATTTTAGCAATTTTATGTTTCGTCGAAGCAATGTTTAAAAATTGCAAAGTATGTATTTTGGCTTGTTTCTTTTTTGACCAGCCGCCCACTTGACGCTAAGGGTTAACGTCAGGTAGGCAGTTGATTTTAGCAATGTAAGCATATTTAAATGGGGGCAACGGAAGAAAGTAAATTAGGACAAAGAAGCGATTGAGCTAAATTAATAGATTCTGATAGGAGATTGAAAACTGACAGGACTGTAACTGCAGTAATTTGAGTTAAAGGTACATAAACTGAGACAGAGATGTCTACTGACTAAGACATAGGGATCATACATGTTGAATTGAGTTATTTATCTAAATATGAAATATTGGACTAGTTAATGGGTTAACAGATTTTTGATGTGTATTATATATAGCAACATCCCTGTTCCTACAGTGAATAATAATGTGATAGTGTGTATGATAGAGATATTTTTATGTATTTATAAATGTGTATGTTCATGTATTGTAGATTAGATTAGTAATTTAGATTTAACTTAAATTAATAAATTTAATATAAAAAATCAAATTCTCTGTTTTCTCTTGCACCTACTACATCAATTTTCTACATCACCCGAAGGTCGATTGGCAGAGAATGCCTTGGACATTAAGTCCTACAAATAAATAATATGATCAGTTTATTAAGATTTATGTATAACTTCCAGATTTTCGAATGGGATATATTATCAAAGAGATGCAGAGAGTTCTTTAGAAAAGTTGTTCTGGACGTGATTAAGGATCGTAAGATGAATCAAATTATGAGACATGATATAATCCATTTCCTTATGGAAGCTCAAGGAGGTAGATATTTTCTTCTTTCTTATTGTTAAATAATTTCAGTTACTCACTGAATTTAATTTACTTTAGTACTGTTCTATAACGATTATTATTAAGAAAAAAAACGAGTCCTATTAGCTGACTCATTGGAACGAAAATATCGCGCGTCACACACTCTGATCGGATTGTAGCGAGACCGAAAAATGTGTAACAAGACTTTTTTCCGATACTATGGTAAACGTCTACCAAAAAGCGAAAGGAACTTCGTTCCGATCGGGGTCCATAGAACCCTCACGCAGTTTTTTTTAAGTAAATTGGGTCTTCCTCGTCTACTCGATCATCACGGAGACACTGAAGATACAAAAGTGCGTTGATGGTCTTTGATGCAGAGGGGGGAGTGAGGTTTTTAGTAATCCTACTTCTTGGGTAAAATGCAATGAAAGAATAGCTTTTGTGTGAGGCCGGTTTTATGTGAGGTCATGTTTTCACTCCCGTCGAGCTAGCCTATAAGTATCGAAGCATAGCTCTCCATTAATTGACTCTTCAACTCGGGGACATAAAAAGTTTGATCAAATACAAACGCAATTGTTTAAGATGTTAGAAAAAATTATGCAAAATTGGAGCTTTACTGGCGTGTATCATGTTTTACACAAAATACTGTAGTAAGAAGTGAGTCGAGTCCAAAGAGTGCAATAACAGAAATACTAAATTTTATGGCCATTATATACTTTTCATAGATAAATTTCCTATTTTCAGTATTGACCGATGATGATATTGTTGCCCAAGTATTGCTGTTCTTTATTGAAGGCTTCGGAACGGTTTCTAGTCTGATGAACTTTCTGTTGTATGAACTAGCAGTTAACATTGACGTCCAAGATCGATTGGTGAAAGAAATAAGAGAACATGATGCCAAGCATAATGGCGAGTTGAGTTATGAATCTCTGAAGGAAATGGAATACCTTCATATGGTCATGTTAGGTAAGATTTTTATACTTTGTTAATCTTGAGATCCGGGCAAGATTTAAAATAACAACTCAAACCTAATATGTAGGTAACGTGGACTATAAGTTAACAAATTCTAATAATAGGTCTTTACCTATGAAATTGTCGTTTTGTATGCAATGCAAAAGTACTTATTTTTTCAAACTTTTTTTATTTCTGTTATTCGAAGTAATCACCCATGCAATCGACGCATCTTTGCCAACGCATTAGCAGTTTATTGATGCCCTTCTTGTAAAAATCAGCTGGACGGGAGGCAACAAATTCTTCAAAGGCATTTTGTACTGCCTCTCGAAAAAGTTGTCTAAATTTTGGAAAAAGTAATAGTCGTTAGGTGCAAGGTCTGGTGGTCACATCTGCAACCACAACTTTTTAGTGGGTAAAAAATTCAATTCCCGAGAGGCAGTACAAAATGCCTTTGAAGAGTTTGTTGCCTCCCGTCAAGGCCATCAATAAACTGCCAATGCGTTGGCAAAGATGCGTCGATTGCATGGGTGATTACTTCGAATAACAGAAATAAAAAAGTTTGAAAAAATAAGTACTTTCACTTATTGCATACAAAACGGCTATTTCATAGGTAAAGACCTATTATTATTTATACATGGTTTACTTGTTATTCGTATCGTCGTGAAACGTAATACTTATGGATTATATATTGATTAACGACCACTTACAAACAATCTGACAGATGATAGAAAAAGAGTAAGACATAGGTGTTGAACGCCATTTAAGATATGACACATCTGTATAGCAACAAAAATAAACCCTTTTTAAAAAAAAAGTTGAACCGACTTCAAAAAACACCGACAAAGAGCACTAAAAATTAAAAAATAATTACAAATCTAAGTAAAAAACTATAATAAGTACCCTCAATGTAACAGGTAACATTATAATACCAATAGTCCCTTCTAGTCAGTTTGAAGTCGGTGCCAAGCCAAATAGGTGCTTGATAGGCATGGTAGAATGTAGCGCGGCAGCTGCAACAGTCTTCATGCTGCGCAAAACATGATGAACGAGCTAAAGTGGACGCACATCTCCAATTATATTATTATTTTGAATTCTTTAATAAGTAGTTGATAAGTTTGCGCACGTAATTGATCTGGTTGGTCTTTATTAATTAACAAAATCTTCGATGTTTCATTAGAATTATTTTGAATTCTTAATTTTTCATTGTGCTAATATAAAGCTGACATAGACCAGTATTACTTATTGTACATCGAGCTTGGCACCGACTTCAAACAGACTAGAAGGGACTATTGGTATTATAATGTTACCTGTTACATTGAAGGTACTTATTATAGTTTTTTACTTAGATTTGTAATTATTTTTTAATTTTTAGTGCTCTTTGTCGGTGTTTTTTGAAGTCGGTTCAACTTTTTTTTTAAAAAGGGTTTATTTTACCATTTTTAGTGTAGGATATGAAAATGACATTGGCGTCCAAACTGATCAAGATCAGCTTAAATTCTTTTCTAAGAAACAGTCAAATTCTTGTGAGTTGCAACCGAACAAAATAACTTCCGATTCAATTGACACTGATCTCGAAGGTGAAGATAGGGAAGCTCTAGTGAGACTACTCAACAAATATGCTCAATATTTTATAGAAGGAGTTCCAACTAGAAGGGTTAATACTAGTATGTTAGAAATTAACCTAGTTGACCCACCCAAAATTTAAGAGTTTTTTCCAGAACTATTTTAATAAATTAAGTATAAAATAACTTCCAAACGAAATGCGATGCCATCCATAGCAACAAAACGTCTATCCGAATTATTTTAACAAGATAGAATACAAAATTTCAACCTTTTCTTCTTAATACAACGAAAATTACTGTGGTGACATAAATACTGCAAGTTCTCTGCGCATCACATCGCGCAGTCTCTGACAGTTGCCATGATTTGTTTGGCTAAAGAAATACTCGTAGCTAAAACACGTTGTCGGGGCTGTCAAATTCCCAATAATTGTGAGGGTTTCACTCGATTTCTCTAGGATCCCATTATCAGATCCTGAATTGGTGGTAATGGGACCAATTCGGGAGCATACCCTTTCGATTACAAAAAGAATTTTGAAAATCGGTCCACAATTGACGAAGAAATCGCGTAACAAACATACATAAAAAAAAATACAGACGAATTGAGAACCTCCTCTTTTGTGTTTTGGAAGTCGGTTAAAAAGAAAACATTGTCGAATCAAAAACCCTCCTTTCTTGATGTTGGTTAAAAATCGACTAGCATGAAGCTCCTAGTCGAGACGAATCAAATGAGCACAAACACGGCGGAATTGCTTTATTTTATTACAGAGTTCCCATGGCTATTTACCGTCTCCATCATCAGACCCTGAATATCACATAGGATCGGAGTTCTTATTAATTAGACTCAAACACATTCAAATTCGATGGTATTACATAATTTTGTTACAGAGATCCCATACTCCTAAACCATTCATCAACAGCTTCATCATCAGCTCAGCAACATCAGGTGGTGACCATTAGATGCAAAAATCTACATAGATTAAGATAATTTCTGATAAACAGTGTATATGCCTACAAAATTTGAGGGTTTCCCTCGATTTCCCCAGGATCCCATCATCAGATCCTGACCTGGTGACAATGGGACCACCTCTGACGTATGACCTACCAAATAAAAAAAGAATTATTCAAATCGGTTTATAATTGCCGGAGTAATCGCGTAACAAACATACAAAAAAAAAAAAAAAAAAAAACAGTCGAATTGAGAACCTCCTCCTTTTTTTGAAGTCGGTTAAAAAGAAATCCTTAACACCAGTTTTCTATGAGGCTAATCACTCCTGTCGAACCGGCCCATTTGTGCCCTAAAATGGCCCATTTGTGCCATAAAATGGTCCTCCAGTTTATGCTATGTCATCGTCACCGTTTGTCTATTTCTTTTACGCTCAGCGCAATGTGTTACATTGAAAAGGGTTTTAGCTGATTTATTTTAGCCATTGGTAGTCCGTGATAGACTGCAAGGATGGCTTAGAAGTTCAAGCGGTCACCTCGCTGCTTCCTACTTCGCTGAGTAGTTCGGTGCCTACAAATAGTTGTTCTTTCTGAGTCTGGGTGTTCTTTGTGCCCGTTTCATGAAAGTTTATAAAGCCCCGAGACACAGGATATATTCTTATTTATAAAATAAAAGAAGAGTGGAAATTTCAAAAGCGTAAAGTCGCCAGTTTCCATTTTAAGGACCTATACATTTTTACGCAGTTGGGTTTTTAGTGTTAACAACACTTAAAGTATAGTAGCCTTATTATAGGAGTGTATCATAACGCACCTGTACAATATATGTCTTCGTCACTTAAACTAGTAGTTGTTTATGTCCAATGTTTGTTTGCAGAAGTACTAAGGTTATGGCATCCATCTATGATTCTAGACAGAAAGTGTAACCGAAATTATAACTTAGGCAAACCCAACAAGGATGCTAAAAAAGATTTTGTCGTAAGTTTCGTTATTTTTTTGTAGTTGATTAATTTTCCAATAACTGAGCGTCAAGATATTTATTGATATATATGTAAAGGAAAACGGTGAGCTTTGGCACACATTTGGAGAAGCCTAAACACTACAGTGGACTACAATTAGTTAATTATTTGATATTAGCTTTTTACTACCTACTAATCGCAATAAAAACTTCAATCAGTTGCTTAACTAGTTCTTAACTAATAAGACTTTTTTGCGACACTTTACTTTACTCACATGTTTTTCCTTTTTTTTTGTATTTATAGCAAACGTCTACCTAAAAGCGACAGGCACTTTGTCCCGACCGGGGTCCATAAACCCCTCACGCCGTTTTTAATTCTTTGTATAAATAATTGCAGGTGAAGAAAGGAACAATGATTACAATCCCAATTCACGCTATACATCGTGATCCTCAGTACTTCCCTGATCCTGAAAAATTCGACCCGGAGCGTTTCTCTGCAGAGAACAAGCAAAAGATCCATCCGTTCGCGTTTATTCCTTTCGGAGTCGGACACAGGAATTGTATTGGTATGATAATATTTATTTACTGACTTGACTGCACGGATGGCATATTGGTTTAAGCGGTCGCCACGCCGCTTCCTACTACGCCGAGTGTTGTGGGTTCAAACCCCACATGGGACGACACTTTGTGTGATCCACAAATTGTTGTTCTGTGTCTGGGTGTTCTTTGTGTCCGTTTCATGTATGTTTGTAAAGTCCCCCGCGACACAGGATTTAGTCCTAATGCGGGAGTGGTCTTTTTAAAAAAAAAGAAAAGAAAAAAAAAGAATTTAGACCTTTATTTCTTAAATTGACTTCTAACAATATTTACAGTATCAAAAGGTGAAGTTAAAAGCTTTGTCCAAAGACGCCGTTGTTATAAGAAGGCATCCATTATATTTTTAACTTGATCAGAGATAATTATAGTTTTGAGAAGGCTGTGAGATTTGCAATAATAGTAATATTTTTCGGATATTTGACACACAACGCCATCTAGTTTAAAACTAAGCAGAGCTTGTTCTATGAAAGCTGAATAGATTGATAGAATACTTATATACTTTTTTTTTCGTAAAATTACATATCATACATAGAAAACACACAACTCCAAAACAAATATTTGCAGATCATACAAACATTTGATCCAACAGGGGAATCGAACCCTCGACCTTAGCACAGCAGTCGCACATGCTTCCACTGCATCACCAAAGCAGTCATCGTTGGATGGATTGCAATATTCGCTATTCTTTTTTTATTTATTTATTTTCTTTAAAAAGACAACTCCCGTATCAGGAACATATCCTGTATCGCGGGTGACTGTACAAACATACATGTAACGGACACAAAGAACACCCAGACTCCAGAACAAAAATTTGTGGATCCCACAAAGTGTCGTCCCATGTGGGGTTTGAACCCACAACACTAGGCGTAGTAGGAAGTGGCGTGGCGACCGCTTAAATCACTACGCCATCCGTGCAGTCTTGAATAACTTCTTTAATGGTTGAAACATTTCTTGGCTCAACAAGTTAGTAGACACCAAAATATGGCGTCTAGTACAGCGCTATCAAAGTGAATAATACAATCCATTTTTATCACTTATAAAAGTATTCAATATCAGACAATTAATCTCCAATTCATTACCATCGTAGCTCTTAGATCTTTGAGTTGCAGGTACTTTAATTTACTAATCATTATATTTATTCCAGGTAATAAACTGGGGCTGTGCGAGATAAAAGGATTAATTTACCAGATTCTGTTACGAATTGAAATTTTACCAACGGAGGCAACTTGTATTCCTGCGAAGCTATGTCCCAGCTCCTTTAGCCTCAAGTTGCAAGGAGGACATACACTTAGGTTTAGAATGAGATCCTAAACCCTCTAACTATTCGCTGTTACATTATACTGACGCCTTAACTGTTATTTCGGTATTTTACCTAAGATTTTTGTAAATGCTTTTTTATATCTTATTGTAGTTTTGTTATTGCTTAGAAAGTATAGCTGCGTGTAGGAGAATTATTAAGACTTTTAATGTAATGTATTAAAAAAAGTGTTACTTTATAAAATTATAGAACTATAAATATTATATTCCTGGCTATCCTTTATCTAGCATTGTGAGGTCACAGTATTCAGTCTCCCCGCAATAAAAGTAATTTGTCCTTAATTCGTAACTGTAGTAGGATACAACACTGGTTTTCAATCGCTGCTTACGACAATTTACTTGAAATAGAAGAAAAATATTAATCTTTATCTTTCTCAATACTCTTCTGAAAGAGAGGAGAATATTCTCCATCTTTTTCCATGCGTCATGGGTTTTATTGTAAAAAAAGCTCTATTGTATATCTATTTATATCTTTGAAATCCCAACCAGTATCCTTGTTATTCGCAATTGTTTAACAACATTTAATTACTATTTATATATTTACGATTGTTTTGTTGTAATTAGAGATAAAACACTTTATTTTCCACCACTCATAACAAACTGCTGGATTTGTTATTATATTATATAACTGTGAGTTACTGCTACCAATTACCGCGTAGTAACTGCGCCACAGTTTTGTTCTACTGCAGTCACTATCGAACTAAATGTTATATCTATGTTATGTTGCAAAATATATATTTTTTTAATCAACTTGCTGACGATGTCTTTTTTTTATATAAAACGGGGGAAACGAGCTGACGGGTCACCTGATGGAAAGGGGCTACCGCCTCCCATGAACATACTAAGTACATACCTTTGAATTGCCTGACGTTTCGACCAGATTGCACTGGCCATGGTCACAGGCTGACTATCAGTTTTTTATATGGTATAGAAGCGCAAACGAGCTGACATGTCATCTGATAGTAAGCGACTACCGTCACCTGGACACCTACAATGCTGGAGCCCTTTGAGCCCTTCTCCCAGGATAGGGGGGAGGAGTTAAAAACGTATACTACTTGCTTAACACCAGCTTTCTGTAAGTCCGTGGTGTCACTCCGGCCGAGCTGACCCATTTCTGGCGAAGCTAGGCTCACCCATAGTCAGCAAGATGCCAGAATACTGACTAATGTTTATCCAAATACTTTCCGGCAAACGTTTATTTGCCCTATACATTATTTCTAGGAAATATTGAAAAAGAATGAGGGTTGGGTCACCCTTGTCATAAAGGGTATGAAAAATAGATGTTGGCCGATTCTCAGACCTACCCGATGTGCACACAAAATTTCATAAAAATCGGTCAAGCCGTTTCGGAGGAGTACGGGAACGAACATTGTGACACGAGAATCTTATATATAAGATTGCTAGACCTTATTTTTAATGGTTGTAAAGATTTTAAACTGGCCTATATATACTGGTAATGGCTTTGAACAAACGAGTTGACAGAAGTACAAAAGATTTCACAAAAAAGAGGGAAAAGAAAAAGTAGCTGTTGAATGCATAGGCACTTTTAAGTTCAGATTTTTTTTTTGTAAATTGATTAAAAAAACAAAAAATATCAAAAACTATTGATTAGTAGAAGGAATTAGTTGGGAATATAGACCGGTTCATTTTTTATGGAATAGGGGGCAAACGGAGTACGGGGCAAACGGGCAATAGCCACAAGCGCGTTGCCAGCCTTTGAGGAAAGAGTACGCTCTTTTCTTGAAGGTTTGAAGGTCGTATCGGTGACTTACAGATATTTTACAAATAACTAACATAAGATTGTGATAGATTACATGTAATATTACAAAGAATTTACATTTTAAATAAAAACCAGATAGAGACTGGTGATCATGTAATGGCTATATATAAAATATATAATAATGTACTATGTAATATTCGCTTTTTGAGAGACTGCACACGGCATAGGCATAGGTGTTCTCCCCTGGGATAGGGCCTGATTAGGCATGGTGTCAATTCGGAGAGGACCTGAAATAACATGGTCCGGGTCCTCCCCAGAGTAGGACACCTAAGGCTGGCCGTCTGGGTGGTTTTTAGTGGAATCACCACATACTCCTGGCTCCTGAGTCCCCGAGGAGCCGGAGATCCGAAGGGATTTTAAACCCCGTCAACAAAAAAAAAAACAAAAAAGGTATTAGGCATAGGTGTCGTGCAAATAACCGTGTAAGCATAAAAAAACCTAAATAACCTAAAAATTTTGACATTACAAACAGACACTTCAATTTTATTTATTTGTATAGATGTATTTAGAAGTATATAAGTATGTTTATCAGCAGTCTGGTTAATATAGTATAGGCTCTGCGTTATTTTTTTAATTATTGTTAATATTACAATTCAAGATACATTATACCCGTAATCATACACCTTATTTATTATATAGAAAATGCCATGAATTAAAATGTGGAGAAGTAATCAATTTTAATTAAAAAGCACGACCGAACTTACAAAAATAAGAAAGAAATATCTATCTACTACTATTTTTTTAATTTATTTATAGGTTAGCTATTCTGACTGCTAAGTCAGGGATCGTGTGTTCGATTCCGACCCTATTGGGTGATCATTAGTTCTGCGTATAATTTATCTATGCATTTTCACCCTTTGAGTCCTCCCCCTAGAAGCACTGGGAGGATAAGTTTGGTCGCCGGTCACCTTACTCGCTCATCGAAAACCAAGGAAATAATTGTGTAATCCCATTTTTCTGTGCCGCTTTGGAATTACTCCGGTCGAACACGTCCATCGAAGCACGGCTCACATTTAATGAACGACCATGAATTTGCTATAAGAGAGTAAACGTTTTTAACCCATATACAACACGCTTTAGAGATAATTTCATCAACATGCGACTTGTAATATAATTATCATTTTATTAATAGGTATTTACCTATGAAATTGCCGTTTTGTATGCAATAAGTGAAAGTATTTATTTTTTCAAACTTTTTTATTTCTGTTATTCGAAGTAATCACCCATGCAATCGACGCATCTTTGCCAACGCATTGGCAGTTTATTGATGCCCTTCTTGTAAAAATCAGCTGGACGGGAGGCAACAAACTCTTCAAAGGCATTTTGTACTGCCTCTCGGAAATTGAATTTTTTACCCACTAAAAAGTTGTCTAAATTTTGGAAAAAGTAATAGTCGGTAGGTGCAACTGCTGCTGTGCTGAGGTCTCTGATTCGATTCCCGGGACGCACCAAATGTTTGTAGGATCTGCAAATATTTGGTTCGGAGTTTACGTGATTTCTATGTGTTACATCAACAGCCTTTAATAGTCCACTGCTGGACATAGGCCTCTCATTGAGGAGGTTTTGGTCTACTATACCACGCTGGCCAGACGGCTTGGTATAGGGTTTGTGTCAAGTGTTCTTCTCTTTGCAGTGCTGTTGTTTGTAGTTTGTTCCCTAAGTTGGCTCTTACGACACCCAGAGATAAATACGGGTGGTGACACTCCGTATTCTTAATCCGTCACCACACGGACTATGTGTATTATGTATGTATTTACAAAAAAAGTATATAAGTATTCTATCAGTCAATAAAGCTTTCATAATACAAACTCTACTTAGATTAAAACTTGATGGCGTTGTGTGTCAGATGTCCGAAATATTATAATTAAGATATTTGTGACAATAAACCTTGACGAGTTTCGCCACTAAACAAAATAAATCAAAATCGTTAAAAAGGCAATACTTACTGAACAGTTACGTTATTCCTTTGTTACGTAACTATTGACGTGTATTTTCCTAGTCCTGTAAAAGCTTATTTAAGGAACAAATGATGCTGTCGAAGTCAGTTGTATCATGTCAATGTTCTATAGCTATTGTCCTCTACGGAACGATAATAATGTAGAATTCGATACCGTCGTTCATCGATAACGGTTTTGAACTGATAACAAATAGTTTACTATTTCGTTGAAGCTGAAGTAACTACGAGTTGGTGGTAAGTAATTTCGCGTATCTGATTCTATTTTGTAGTATTTTCTTTTCTTAAAAGGTTACCAACTAATCTCATTTATTTATTTTTTATTTTAAGTTATATATTCGAACGCGTGCATTATTGTTTGTTATACTTACGTCTATGTTAGTAGTTATATATCTAAATATATGGTATGTGGGTCACTGCTGTGCAATCCCGGCAGAGATAACACAGCAGCGACTCATGTTCAATCCAGCCAGCTCGATTACATGCGTAGGATGCTGTTAGTGCTAATTTTAAACAGCCTTTAACAGTCCATTCCTAATTGGTTACCACACGGACAATTTATATTTATTTGTTATTTGATAAAATAAGAAACTAGCTAATTCACTCAACGAACGGATGGCGTAGTGGTTTGTGTAACGAACTTCTATTGCAAATGTTGCGGGTTCGATTCCCGCTCTAGTCAAACATTTGTGTTCATGAACAATGAAAAAAACAAACATGTTATATATTTCTAGTTCGAGAGTTGTCTTATAAAAAAATGAGGTAGTTTGATATTATTCCGTTCTCCAAGACAGAACTGGTTGTTTATATGCTCTAAAACACAACAAATATTTTTAGCTTTTGCTAGCCCTACCATTATTCATTAGTTGTCTGTATATCCCCGAACGATAAGACAGAGCTGTTATAATAAATGACTAATGAATATTCACCGCAGAGAGTAACTCCACAACGAAAATACATAAACTTTAAAAATAAAGTTACTATAGGCAGTCTACTTAATAAACTATTATCGTTGCATGTTAGTCATCGGGACTACTCCTACATACTATGCCATCAGAGTGTTATATTGAACAACTAAACGTATTTATAAACGGTTCTCTAATAAATGATAAAACTAACCGGTTGGTTGATTCGGAGGTTCCAACAACAGCCAATTCGTATCACAGGTGAACTTATATATAGGTAATCGGCTCGAAGTATTTCATACACATCCCTATTCATCCATAGAAATCCACCATTATAGTGGATGGTGGATATGAATAAATGATATATAAGATAAGCAATATCCTTCTCCTTCCACTGCTGCGTTTATTTGCCATCACTTTTTTATAATATTCTATCTCGTATTCCCTAACTTACCCAAAAGTGACCAGTTGACTTTAAATTGATGCTTGCTAGCACATAAGTGGGCCTCCTCTTATTGATCTGATGGTTATTGACTACCGTGACTAGTCACAAGCGCATTGCCACACGTTGAGAGCCCATAAATGCTAAGTGGAAAGGGCGGGCTCCGGTAACCCCACTTACTTTATAGCTGAACACCGGTTCTTTGGGAGGCCGTGTATCACTCTGGTTAAGCCGGCCCATTTATGGTGACCGTGTGGTGACGGATTAAGAATACAGAGTGTCACCGCCCCTATTCATCCCGAGGGTGTCAACCACACTGCAAAGAGAAGGAAAACTTGAAAGAAACCCTATACCAACCTGTCTGGCCACCGTGGTATAGTAGGACACCATCTCCTTTCTGAGGAGATGCTTATGTCTAGCAGTAGACTAGTAAAGGCTGTTGATGATGATGATTTATGACGAAGTCTGGCTCCCCATTTATATATAACTAAAGAATAGTCAGCAAAAGGTGGATGTAAAATATCCATATTCTTACCTTTTCGGAAACATAAGAGCGTATGTAGGTATATTTATAACGAACCAGTCCAGTTAGATTATAATTGACGGGCCTGTTGGTCTAGTGGTAAGTGACCCTGACTGCTAAACAGGAGGTCGATTCCCACCCAGGACAAATATTGTGTGATGAGCACGATCATTTGTTCTGTGTCTGGGTGTAATTTATCTATAATATATATGTATTTAAAAATATATAAGTATGATTATCAGCAGTCTGGTTACCATAACACAGGCTCTGCCTAGTTTGGGATCAGACGGCCGAGTGTGAGATGTAAGAGATATGTTATATACTTGAAATTTAATAAAAATCTTTTGATCTGCTCACGCCCAATTCAAATACCAGTCCTTTCACAATTACTGTTTTAATGTAAATATTGATGTGGTGTAAGTTAATATTTTATTGATTTGTGATCGTTAGAAGATAATAAAGTATTATTATTCAAAAGGGATGAATGTACTCGGACTTAGCGCAGATTTCGGTGGTGTTGTCTCACGTTTTTTAGACTAACAAGTACACGCTCACGCCACGTCGCCGTGCCGTCCTGTCCGTTGTCTGAACCACCCTTTAACTTTCAAAATGTAGATTACCATTGCATACGTTAGGTCTCTATTGTCAAGAAACCAAATTGTCATAGCTGCATAAGTCAGTTTCAAAAAGCCAATTTTGTTAGGTAATGTTTTAAAACAGCGAATATATCAGGACTGCGTCATAACGTAATCAAAGAGGTCATTACGTAATTACGAACGTCACAAGAAAGTATAATAGCTTGTGGTTAGAATTTGAATAGATTATAACAGAGTACAATAAAATATTTAACCACAAGACATTGTAAGTATTCGCAATGTTCGTAAAGGCGTGAATTGTCTAATCTAATATAATAATCTACAAATAAAAGTTATGCTGGGACTTCTTCTTCGTCCTTAGCCTTAATCGACCAAATATTTGGTGTGGGCCTCCTTTATTCCTCTGCACTTTCCTCTGTCTTGGTCCAGTTGCTGCTCGCCACTATTTTGATGTCATCCTTCCATCTCATCTGTGGTCGCCCTCGAGGTCTTTTCTGGTCACATGGTCCCCATTCTAACACTTTTTTGCTTTCTTTCTACCTACATAACCAGCCCACTCCAACTTTAACTTTACATCGTCTGATACTTTGCTCTGTTTACGAAGCCACGTATTGGTTTTTCTGTCACCATTTTTCTTTCCATTGCCCTTTGCGCTACTTGTAAGCAGAATGGCTTTAGTCGTAACCCAAGTTTCCACGCCGTATGTAAGGACTGGTAGTATGCATTGGTCAATAGATCTGAGCCTTTTGTTGACTGACAGGTTGATTTTGAATAAAAAATTGAGTTTGGAGTAGGCTGCCCACCCCAGTCTGATCCATCGGTTAATCTCATTTTACTGGTTCTCTTTTCCCATTTTAATTTCCTGTCCGAGATACACGTACTTACAAACTCGTTCAATTACCGTATTCACTAATATTTCCGTCGTATCTTCTGATTCTGTGGTCATCACTTTGGTCTTATCGAGATTCGTCTCTATGCCTACTTCAGAGGATACTAAGTGTAGTTCCTATATCATGCACTGGAGTTCTTGTGGCGTGTCAGCAAAGAGGACGATGTCGTCTGCATATCTTAAGTTTGTTAGACGTGTACCCATCACAGAGGTGCCCTTATCCTGCCAGTTTAGTTTTTTTAACTAGGTCTTCGATAACCAGGGTGAAGAGTTTCGGAGATAGGGAATCGCTCTGTCTTACGCCCCTTTTGATCTTTATGGGCCTAGTAGATTGCAGAATTGATACAGAGCTCAGCTATTGTCTACTCTTGCATTTCTTAATGATCCTTGTACTGCCAAAGCCTCCAAGGTATCGAACGCTTTATTGTAGTCAACGAACGCAACCCATAAGGGCATTTGGTATTCTGTGGCTTTTTCAATGAGTATTCGCATGGTATAAAAAACTGTTTTAATTATATTATTTTAATTTATTTATTAATCGTAAATTATGATAATATATATTGAGGTAGTTGAGCATTACATGCTTACTCCGACTATCACTGAGCCAGCCAGTCTTTGACCACGGCCTGTGCATTCAGGTCAAGACGTACGGTAATTCAAAAGTATGCAGTCCATAACGAACTTAATATTTTATGTATTTACCATGTTATTGGACACTGTTTAGGAGATTAATTGAATTGATAAAAATGTAAACTTCAAAGTTATCATTTTTGGCAATTCAATTAATCGTAGCTTAGCGTAGCTTTCGTAGATCTGTAGCGCTCGCAGTTCGTAGCATTATTTTACAGATACGTCTCTCAAAGGTTTTAAGTTAATATTTTTTCGGACATCTTACACACAACGCCATCTAGTTTCAAACTAAACAGAGCTTGTACTATGATAGCTAGGTTGGCTGATAGAAAACTTATATTTTTTTTTTCTTTTTTAGTAAAATTTTAAAGTAAAAAGATCTGATATTTTTTTTTTCAATTTGGAAAAATTAGGTCTGACCTCTTTAAGCCATTACTTATATTCCCCATAAACAATATACCTTCCCTGCATGAGTTCCTTTTTATCTCCCTTTCATTTCGTTCTACTAAAAAATTTCCTTCTCCTAAAATGTCCAGTTGGCAACAACAGCCTGAATCTTGTTACGTAAGTGGGACTTAAATTATAGTTGCCACAAAATTTACGATTTATGCGCTTCTGTCGACCTCCTCGAGGTTATAGGTGTGAATATATATTTGTATGGTTTGTTTCAGTTGTGAATAGTTTGTTAAAATCTATCTTCTATATATATATATATATAAGAGATTTCCACGTATATAGTCACTCATCACAATATCTCTGGAACCATTAGAGCTAAAGACTTGAAATTTGGTAGGAATATTCTTTTTACCGAGTAGAGGTCAGCTGAGAACTGATTTTAAGAAATTACAAAAAAAAATGTGTAAATAATGTAAATAGCAAAACAACGTTTGGAGGGTCAAAACAAACAAAACAAAATAATGTGAACTTTATCTACTAAATGCTTACAATACAAAGTATTATTTTCCTTGGGGTAGCAATTAATTTTATTTTTGATGGCAACACAACAATAGTTCATACTGGGACTAGCCTATTCAATATATTACGGCCGTAAGGCTATTAACTGCTAAACATAATTCTATTATATAACAAGGATATTGTATTATATATTGGCTTGTTATTTATTTCCATTGTTTATTGTGAAAATTGCTATAACAATACGTAGTTTTTTTTTGGACTTTGAACATGAAGTTTATAAAGGAAGGTAAATAACTATTTATAAATTATCATCATCATCGCCGTCCTATCATTTAATGTTGGGTAATTTGCACCATATTAATATGTATAACTGCCAAGAATTTTGCCTTCTTTTCTTTATGGTCCATCGCCCACCGGGACATCTATAGCCTTACCTACCCTTTACTTTCAATATATTTTATTAATTTTCCCATTTTTATTCCATAAGTGTATTTTAATAATCATACTAATCAATACCAAGTTATCGGTTGCGGTATTTCAGGACCGATACGATCTTTCAAACCTTTAAGACAAGAGCGTACTCCATCCTCAAAGGCCGGCAACGCGCTTGTGACTCCTGAGTTGCAGACGTTCATGGGCGGCGGTAGTCACTTTCCATCAGCTGACCCGTATGCTCGTCTGCCCCCTTCCATATTTTTTTTTATCAAATTATAGTTCTCAAAAGAGTAGAGGAGTGTAAAAGTTTTCCTAATCTAATTTTATTTTTGTTACAGAAAATGTTGATCCTTTTCATTATTATTGCACTAGTGGTCGTATTTGGCATTGTATATCTTCGTCAAATCTTCTCCACGTTCAGCAAGTATGGCGTCAAATTCGTCACACCGATGCCAGTGGTTGGGAATATGGCCAGGCTTTACCTACGACGTGAGCATTTTGCCGACCACATCACAAGGTTATACAACGAGTTTCCAGAGGAAAGGTAAAAGTGATTTCGTGATATTAAAAATATACTGTTTACTTAGAAATTTTATGTACTCGTATATACATACATACCTATTACCCTACATATACGTGATGCGCGGTCGTCTGCACCAACCCGATATACTGGCGAGTTTGCGGCTGTGCGCCCCTGACGGGTGCGTGGGTGCGCGCCGCCAGCCCCCTCCGCTGAGCGTTCCCGTAACGCGAACAAATTTACTTCGATATGCTCCTATATCACGCGCCGTAAGGCTTATTAATATTATTTCAATACAAATAGATATCTACAACTGTAGCCTGCCGAACTTCAAAGAAGTCGCACACAGATGTATTACAGCAAATGATTTTTATATATAAATAACTGTTACTTACTGTTTTTACTTACAGTATCGTTTTGGGATAAATCCTGTAAAGACACTGTAATTGTTTTTAATAAATAAATAAATAAATAAATAAATAAATATATACCTAGTAAAATCGCCTCTCTAAGGAGAGGCCTGTGTCCAGCAGTGGAATATTAAAGGCTGTTGATGATACCTAAAATACATAAAGAAGCAAATTCTTGTAACATTATTAATTTCTTCATTTTCGGGTATCTAATTTGTTCCAAATATACACTACAGTTATTCACAGCTCTGCATCACCCAAAGATTAACTGGAAAAATATGTCTATGGCATAGAGTTCGCTTTATACAATTATATATTGGCAGAAAGTATAAATAATTGAATTTTCTTAGTAATATTCCAACAAAAATATGTTAAAAAATAAAACTTTATTTCTAAATGTTAAATTTTTCCCAATAATATTTTTTTACCATAACAAGTGATGTGCTTATCTGTACAGAGAACGCGCGTAGATGCTACTAGAAGATACCCAAATTTTATAATCAATATGTATTTCTTGAAATAATTATCCCTTCATAGCATTGTGTAAAAACAAAGAAAAGTGTTAAAATAATAGGCTTTTTTTATTTCTCAGGTTTTTTGGGAAGTTTGAATTCGTCAATGAATTAGTGGTCATCCGTGATTTGGATTTGATAAAACGGATAGCGCTCCAAGACTTTGAATGTTTCGATCACCGCTCTGTATTTAGTGAAAGTAACTCTTTTTTCGCCAAAAATCTGTTCGGTTTGAACGGTGGGTGTTTTTTTTTTAAATTTGTCATTGCATTCGAATTTGAATACGGAAAATAGTGTGTAAGTTTACAATGACAAAAATTGAATTAGATTTTTTTAATTAAAATTATACCTACTGAATAGGTCAAGAATGGAAGGAAATGCGCGCTACATTGAGTCCAGCATTTACCAGCTCCAAGATACGGAAAATGGTGCCCCTTATAGTTGATGTAGGAGACCAAATGATTGCGATGTTTAAGAGGAAGATTAAGGAGTCAAAGAGTGAGTGTTTTATGACTATTTTATTCATCTGACAAACATCAAGGGTGGCCTGATATTTTACAGTATTAAAAAATAATACATTATGGACAAAGCTGAAAATTCCTGTGGACATTGTCCGCCCTTGAAAGAGGGAAGAGGTTTGCAAATCTATTATTACCCATGTGTTCTTTTACTTACCTGTTGTGTATTTGAAAATGTCTTACAATCGTTACTGACGAGAAATTAAATTTATAAATGTAAAAAGATAAAGAAAACAGTTAGATATTTTAGTGAACTGAAATAAATTGTTTTGTATTCTATCCACAGCTGACTACATTGATATTGATTGTGAAGACCTAACTGCATGCTACGCCAACGACGTCATAGCCTCTTGCCAGTTTGGTCTAAAAATAGACTCGTATTCGAATCCAGAAAATCCATTCTTCACAGGAGGAAAGGAATTTACTCATTTTGGCTTCCAAGAAATGGTCATATATCTCATAATGTCAAATATTCCGATCTTGGCCAAGGTAACTAAACTTCATCACCAAAAATTTAAAAAAAACCACAACACATGAAACAGGCTGTTTGATTAAATAAATGAACTGTCTTACATTTGCAGATGTTAGAATGGGATATAGTGTCAAAGAAATGCAAAGATTTTTTTAGGAAAGTAGTATTGGATATGATGAGGGATCGTGAGGAGAAACAAACTGTCAGACCTGATATGATCTATTTGTTAATGGAAGCTAAAAAGGGTACTCTTTACTTTAACTTTCTAATTTTTGAATAAGTTCGTTAATAAATATTTTTGTTTCACTGTTTGACCAGCTGATATGCTTATCCTTAAGGGGTCTTAAATCACAAGATAGACATACGAGTCAGCAAGCTTTATCCCTTCGAGGTACTATGGTTTCAGTCATGTTTCTTTAGCTGAGACTAGAGGTGTTCCTTACCCTGGCTTTCTTGCTTTATCCATTTCCTTACATTTGTGTTGTTTGAAAACCATTCGCAAGGAAGGATGGCTAAACAAGAACCCAGCTAAAACCATTTGTAATGGACACATTGCGCCAACATCGAGTAAAATTGTTAAAAGGGCAGGCAAATGATGATTATGACTCCTGTTTCGGTATTAATAATAGTCATTCATATAAATACCTGTAAATCTGATAAAAAAATATAATTTTCTTTGCTATGAAATTTTGTAACTATGTCTGTATTTTTTTAGGCAAATTGGTTGACGATACTCCTAAATGTGATGAGGTCCTAAATGGAACAACAGCGGAAGAATCTGCTGCCAATACAAACGTAGCTAAAAAAGGTAATACTCGTAATAAAGGTAATATACTTGGCTTGACCTTCTTCGATGATTCGTTCAACTTCTATGCCATTAGTAAAGTTGCTGCAACTATCAACAGACAAACTATATCTAATGAATTTCTAGAAAGCAAATGTTTCTTGAAAACTACATAATGTCCGTCTAGAGAAGAAGTTTAAAATTCACTAAGATTAATATTTTACGAAACAAAGGCTTGAACCATCAGAGAACACTGAAATTGATGAGTTCCGAAAGTGTGTAGTGTGTTACTTAATACTACTACTTAAAGATACATACATATGTCAGTCCCTTTTCTGGACTTTTGAGCATATGCAAGATAGTTAAAAAATATTTTTATCTTTTCTTTTAACTTTACGTGTTGACAATCTCCCTTTTATTTCAGTATTAACGGATGATGACATTATTTCCCAAATTGTATTATTCTTCGTCGAAGCCTTTGGAACGGTTTCGACTTTGATGACCTTTTTGTTATACGAGTTAGCTATTAACCCTGATGTTCAAGATCGGTTGGCGAAAGAAGTAAAAGAATACAACGTCAAGAATGGTGGAAAGCTGGACTATGATTCCTTAAAGGATATGAAGTATCTTGACATGGTCACATCAGGTAACATTTGGAACCTTTATAATGGCTTAAAATATTTATGGCAAATGCAGGTTACTCTGTCTCAGCCTGGACTCGCTCAGTTCTTCCATGAATCTGTTGAGCTAAACCACAAGAAACTTTTCAGTCTTTGCGGTTTACATGACTATAATACTCGAATACAAAAACAAAAAAATGTACAAAAAAAATGCAAACTGTTTAAATTTAAATCAGTTACTTTGAAATTTGACGTAACAATTATTTTTATTAGATAACATGGAATTTGTATATTCTTTCAGAGGTAATAAGGTTATGGCATCCGTCTATAATTTTGGATAGAACGCTAAACAGAGATTACAATTTAGGGAAACCCAACAAATACGCTGAAAAGGATTTCAAAGTAAGTACTATACAGCTAGAAAATATATTTGAAAGTTCAACAGCTTGAAGCACAATTTTGTAATAAATATGCCCATAGAGTATTTTAAACTTAAGTTTTATTCTAAAAACATGTTTTTATCGTAAATTCTTCTGATATTGCAGGTTCGGAAAGGTACCTTGCTAACGATTCCTATCTATGCTATACACCGTGATCCTCAGTACTTTCCAAATCCTGAAAAGTTTGATCCTGAGCGTTTCTCTCCGGAAAACAAGCAAAAGATCCCTTCATTCGCTTACAATCCTTTTGGACTTGGACCAAGGAATTGCATAGGTAAGAATTTAAACCTTATATTGGAATATGATAAAGTTAAAATTCCATTATTAATAATACATTTTACTATTACATATTATAATACATGAAGTAAAATAAACATTCAGTTTAAGCGGTGTAGCATATTTTGTAACCGACTCCTTTGGGCGTGATTTTAACTGACTTTAAACGGTCAGAATTCGTTCAAACTTTGTAGATATATCGAGGACCGATGTCAATACACTAATTTAAATAGTTTAAAAAAATAGTTTAAAAAAAATAAAAAACACGCTTTCTATAGAAAACCAAACTAAAAAATAGAAAATAAATTTGAAAAAAAGCGTGGGGTGCTTTTTACTATTGACAACAGGCACCCAACGCGTTTTTTCAAATTTATTTTCTATTTTTTAGTTTGGTTTTCTATAGAAAACTATTTTTTTTTTAAATAAAAATACAACTTCCGCATTAGGAATACATTCCTGTGTCGCGGGGGCCTTTACAAACATACATGAAATAAACACACAGACTCAGAACAACAATTGATGATGTTTGAACCCACAACACTCGCCGCAGTAGGAAGCGGCGTTGTTACGCCATCCGTGCAGTCACATTCATAATTCGCAGACATTTCTCTACCGTAAATTAGTGAAAGTCAAAGTAGACGATATTTTCACAGTCACTTATTATTTATTTAATTTCAGGATTGAGACTCGGCCTCAGTGAGATGAAAGCGATTACATACCAAATTCTGCTACATACGGAAATATTACCAACGAAATCAACTTGCATACCAGCAAAACTGTGTCCCAATTCATTTACTCTAAAGTTGCAGGGAGGGCATACTCTAAGATTTAAACTAAGGTCATAGTATTGTTTTATATTGTTACATTTTGTATGTCATATTGCTCTCATAATTGTATTGTCATATATATATTGTGTACATCTGAATGAAATGTTTTGTATTTACTGAAGCCTGTATTAAAACATATGAAATTTAAATTAGTGTGTGATTTACCAAATATGAATGGCCTAATAAAGCTTATGAAATTATTATATAGTAATTATTGGGTAATAGATATTTATTAAGTACTAGTAAAATTTTATGATCTATACTAATATTATAAAGCTGAAGAGTTTGTTTGTTTGTTTGTTTGAACGCGCTAATCTCAGGTAAAAACTACATAGGACATCAGTGCAGTAAAAGAAAAACTTGAAATAAACCCTATACCAACCCGTCTGGCCAACGTGGTAGGTAAAGTAGGCCAAAACCTATTTTCTAAGGAGAGGCTTATGTGCAGCAGTGGACAAATTAAGGCTGTTGATGATGATGACAATGAGTATAATTTTAAGCTAAACTAATTGGTAAAGAAAGGTTTAATGATATTTTTAAACATTTTTTTTTCTTCTTCTTTAAAAAGACAACTCCCGCATTAGGAATAAATCCTGTGTCGCGGGGGACTTTACAAACATACATGAAACGGACACAAAGAACACCCAGACTCAGAACAACAATTTGTGGATCACACAAAGTGTCGTCCCATGTGGGGTTTGAACCCACAACACTCGGCGTGGTAGAAAGCGGCGTGGCGACCGCTTAAACCACTACGCCATCCGTGCAGTCAAATTCCAAATTCCGTGCTTCAATGATTTTCTGTTACTAGTCTTCTACTCGTGATCTACTTCTATTAGTAATGTCTTATGTTATTATTACCTGAATTGAACATTGGAATCGTTTATATTGAAGAACCAAACTAGCAAATTCAATTAGTCTTTGTTTATTTTAAAGAAATTTCAAGAAGAATATGCAAGGCAACAAAAAATCAACAAAAAATAATAATAATAAACAATTTAATGTAAAAACTAAACACACTACACACACACTAATACATGCATAAGATCCGTGGGATTACACATGTGTAATGTAGTACCTAACATCAAAACTTTGATTGCATGCATTATACATTATGAGACCATTATTCTTATTCTATTACATTTATAAACAATAGATGTTTAGTAGAAATCAATTTATAAAGCACACTGCAAAAAGACACTTGATACGTCTCAGTAAGTCAGCAGCTACTTAAGATCTCTTCGTGTTATCCTTAATATCCTCGATACTGTTCTACACTTTGGCAGTTCAGTTATCTTGTCCTACGTGCTGTGTTTCAATGACTCCAGTGTTAAGATTTCAAGTGTGAGCTCTTAATCTTAACCTTAATGTGTGTCCACCTTCCAACTTGAGGCTTAGAGAGCTGGGACACAGCTTGGCAGGGATGCAAGTTGTCTCCGTTGGTAATATTTCCATATTTAGCAGAATCTGGTACGTTATGGCTTTCATTTCGCATAGACCGAGTCTTAAACCTGAAATAAATAATTTGAATACGTAAGTACAGATGTGTGTGTAAGAAAAAATATTTTCATCAGATGTAATGAAAAGTGGTCCAATTTCTTCTTCAACAATTTGTCTAAATACAATCGAAAATACAATAAATTGATGATTAATATGCAACTTGTAACTTACCGATACAATTTCTCGGTCCGATTCCAAAAGGAATATATGCTGATGAATGCATTTTATCTTTGTTCTCCGAGGAGAAACGCTCAGGATCGAACTTTTCAGGATTAGGAAAGTATTGAGGATCACGATGTATAGCGTGAATTGGTATGATAATCTTGGTTCCTTTCTTGATCTGAAACATAATGTGATATTAATATTCATAAACCTATAACAAACAGTACGTCAGAGACTAATAGATCTTAACTTAAGGCATTCAGTACTTACAATAAAATCATTATCAGCATCCTTGTTGGGTTTACCCAAGTCGTAATCTCTGTTACACTCTCTGTCTAGGATGATAGATGGATGCCACAGTCTTATTACCTCTGAAATAATTAGTAAAAAAGAATATATATAAAATTTTAAAATTTTATTTGTCACAGTTACTTTAAAATAATGAATTAAAGGGAGCATCACATTGTCATTTATAACACGATTGAAAGCGTTATTAACATTTTATTATGAGTGGATAAGATATCTTACCTGATATGACCATGTCTAGATACGGCATACTTTTCAGAGAGTCGTAGTCCAATTTGCCAACATTAAGAGCGTGATGTTCTTTTATTTCCTTAGCCAGTCGATCTTGGATGTCAGAGTTAGCAGCCAGTTCATATAGCAAGAAGTTCATCAATATAGAAACCGTTCCGAAGCCTTCAAGGTAGAGCAGCAAGATTTGCGCAATAATGTCGTCATCAGTCAAAACTGCAAATTTACAAAAATCTAGTTTTATCTTGATTTCGTCTAGGAGTAATGGCTATCACTGTCAATTATTTCTATGTCTTTAACACTTTCTCTAAAATTATTTTAATCTACAATTACTATTCTACATACTAAATCTGGATTACTCTAGATTATGTAAAATAACTACCATATTCCGTTCGTCTTGTAGCGATAGCAGATTGTTCAAACTTTGCAGATTCAGTATTTGCTTCATCCGATTTCACCGTGTTTTCTGACAATTTACCTGAAAAATGTTGAAATTGAATTACCTTTGAAGGAGTAATAGACATAGAGCAAGAAATAATCTGACCCGTATTAGGCCTAGTTAAAGTTTATATTACAATTTCTTGACAGAGAGTATTTGTATCTTCATGTTATACATTTAAAATATTGCTAGACATATACGTAAAAAGTAAAAGAATAGTACCTTTCTTAGCTTCCATAAGCAAGTGGATCATATCAGGCCTGACTGTCTGTTTCAACTCGCGGTCTTTAATAACATCTAACACTATGTTCCTGAAAAACTCTTTACAGCTCTGTGACAGGATATCCCATTCAAAGATCTGAAAGTAAAAATATCACAGTTAGAACTGAAGTGTGATTGACGTTGATTAAAAAAAGCTTTTCTGTCTGTACTCCCAAGGAAAAGTGATACAAATATAACTTTGACATTCGTATGTGGTCACTGTTAAAAAGATGGGTTTTATTAAATGGTAAATATGTCGTTAAACTCACCTTAGCTAGTGATGGCAGATTTGAAATCAGGAAATACATGAACACTTCGCGAAAGCCAAAAGTTGCAGATTCCCTGCCTCTTGCATAAATCGGGTTTTCCGGATCTTTGTAAGAATCAACTTTAAGCCCAAGAGCGCAGGAGACAATGACATCGTTTGCGTAGCTCGATGTGAGTTCTTCACAATCAATGTTGATATAGCCAGCTGTGAACAAGACGTGACAGATAGTGAGCAATTAACGGTGTGTCATGTGTTATGTTGGAAAAGGCAATTTGAGATTTATTCTTAAGTTTAATTTCTTTTCTTATTTATGATGAATTCTTATGACTCAAAAGATAGCTTGTATTTTGTTGTTTTTTTTAAAATACATACAACACTTACTTTTCGATTCTTTCATCTTTTTCATCAGCATTGCGGTCATTTGATCTCCCACTTCCATTATGAAAGGTACCATCTTGCGTATCTTGGAGCCAGTGAACGCCGGACTCAATGTAGCCCGCATTTTCTTCCATTCTTGACCTGAGAAGAAAATGGAGAATATATTTGTAAAACTCGTTCAATTGTTTACTGGTTGAATTGCAAAAGAATATACTCGAAAATTCTTAAAGGTTTATTTTGCAAGTCACCGTTTAAAGCAAACAGATTTCTGCCGAAGAAAGAATCACTTTCACTAAAGGGCGAGCGGTGATCGAAGCACTCCATGTCTTTAGTGAACACCTGCTTAATCAGGTCCAGATCTCGGAGGACCACCAATTCATTGACGAATTCAAATCTTCCGACGAACCTGAAAAGTGGAGAATCGATATTTTAACACCTTTTCACATTATATATATTCTCAGTTTTATAATTTTTCAAACAAATTTAATTACCTTTCCTCCGGGAACTTTTTATATAATCCTGTTATGTGATCCGCGAAGTGCTCTAAGCCTAGGCACTGCTTGCCCATGTTCCCGACCAAAGGTAACGGGGTGATGTGTTTGACTCCATACTTGCTGAAGGCTGAGTAGATCTGACGGAGATAGATAACTCCTGCCACGGCTACTCCCACAATACAGACAGTCAGGATAAACATGATCTGCAAATAAAGTAACGTTGTTAAGAATTGTTTCAAACTAGATATCTATGTAGTACTTAAACTTTCGAGTCTATATTTAATTCACCGAAAAGTAGGAAAGAATTATATTCGTCTTAGCTTTTACTTAAACTAAAATACTCATCATTTGTAGATGGTGAATTTTTTAAATAAGTTTATATCTCGTCAATTTTCGAAATCACTTACCGGATATCAGTATTAGAATTCTGCTAAATAATTTCTGCAAATAATTCCTTTTATTTGAAAATAATTCCTCAATTACTGAATATACTATTGAGGGGAATTACCTAATTGAAGTAGAGATCAATGTATTCAGTACAGTGATACAATCGTAACTGAAGAAGAAAGGATAATTACAGCTTATAAATACATAGAGTTCATAGGAGGGCCAATCCGTTTGCGCGTCACAACTACGCATGTAAAACTTCGATAGCTATTGTAAGTAAACCGTCACTGAGTGTCATAAAACAATTCTCTGTAAATTAACATAATGAATACATGACGTAATATGACCCTTTATCTTATTAGTCTGGTTACCCCTGTGAACACATTGATTCGATATTGAATTTACATAGAGGAAACCTGGGACTTATTAAGTTGCACGAACACATAATCATTTTTACATTTTATCTATTTGTTATCATACATAATTATGACGGTTATGGTTATACCAACCCGTCTGACCAGCGTGGTATAGTAGGCCAAAATCTTCTTTCTAAGGAGAGGCCTATGTCCAGCAGTGGACTATTAAAGGCTGTTGATGTGATGTGGTAATAATATTCGACGGGCCTAATGATCCAGTTTTAGTTTCATCCTGACGTCTAAACCAGAGATTGTAGGTTTGATTAACACTTTCGTCCGTAATCTGAGTGTAATTTATATATAAAATGTATCTATTTAGAAATAAATGTTTAACAGCAGTCCGGTTACCATAGAAAAGGCTCTGGCAGAACAGGCTATCGTGCATGAGACGGCCGTGTATGATTTATTTCAGGAAGTAATTAATGTTAGATTAATATACGAGTATATCGCCCTATACCTTTAAGCGATAAAGGAGGAAAACATTCCAAAGAATTAAAAAAGAACGACAATATTGTGAAATTATTTTTTATAACTTGAAACGAAGTACCTTATTAAATATGAACTTAAATATTTAAGTCAATACATTTAAAAATAAAACCTAATGTTGAGTAGTGGTACGTTTATATTCGTTTTTGTCTTTAAATCTTAATTTGTGTCATTTTTTTTGAATTTCAGTCGCGTGACATAAAATTAAATGTTATCATATATAAAGAAATATTAAGACTCCGAAGTTTTCCCTATACGTACTAGTACTGTGACGTTTCAAAATTCTCTATTTAAACTATAAAAGGTAATAAACGTCATTGTGATACCTGTGAGTCACTACCGTCATAGTACGTCAAAAGTGAAGTTGGATTATGGTCACCGTGGCAACTATAAAATGTCATAGATGACACTATGACCTCGGTCGTGATGTAGTCTATTTTTGCTTCTAACATAACTCATTCACATATCACGTGGGTAGCTAATTTACAATTAGATTTTCAATCGATAACGATAGGCTTAAAATAGAAGAAGAGTAGAACTTAGCTGGTAATCAAATGCACATAACAAACCACAAAAAAAAAGATTCTTACCTACATATAAAGAGATTTAAGAGCTTTAAATTAAATGAACATCAATTAGTCATAAATTTCAGCTCAATGACATTAGAGAAGTCTGAAATTTCCGCCTATGACGTGTTATGGTGTCGTTTCAAAAATCTCTGTGGAAATTAATGGCAATTATAGACGTCACTTTAAGAAGTATGGATCATACATGTTATACTAGGTCGAAAGTCCAGTGGTCTGATTGCTCAACAGCTGCTGGACTTAGACTGGATTACAAGACGAAGACCCCTAGTCCTGCGTCTATGGAGGATGGAGGTAGTTCTGAGTTGTAAGTTGTTTGCGGTACAAGTTTATGGAATAGGGGCAAATAAATATATAAATATGACAAAATGTGAATATAGGTAGAGTCCATTTATTATAAAAAATATTGCCTTTACACAAACTTTTACTATTCTCCCTTTTATAAAATTCAGTTAGCACTAATGTTACGTGAGTGGGTAACTAAGAAGTACAAGTCTACTGCATCACACCAACAAGGTTAACGTGTGACGGCTATGATTGATAGTTGCCGCGGTAACAAAATGCAACTAGACGTTGGACTTACTGTGACGATCGTTACTCACAGCTATCATTGTGACGTTTAAAACTGTTAGAAGTTCAAATAGATAGTTCTGAAGCGTCACAACCGTATGTATAGGGAAACTTAAGATTCTCAATAATTCTAGAGTTATGTTAAACTTTACCTTTAATATTGTGTGAGTAAATTTAGGTAGCATCCAATCAATAATGTAAAGTAAGACTGAATGATAAAATAATGTGGACCTAACCCAAATCATTATTAAGATTTATTTTCAACTAAATTTAAATTTCATTCTAAATTCATTCACTTCTGAATGGTTTCCATGTTTTTGTTCGAAAGTTTTTTTCATTTCATATCATATTATATGGATAACACGTGGACATTTTTGAAGTGAAAATTTTTTTGGGCTCGTTATGAATTTTTGAACAACAAAAATTCAGATTTTTTTACTTCTGTCGTCACTCCCGGAGTGCCACTGTTTTCTTATCGTATCAGAAGCATGCGTTGGTAAATATACGCTCCACCGATACCTCTGCCACACCAATAACTGGTGTTGAGCAGTTCTTTCATTGCTGTTCAACGAGTGGGTCAATCTAATTCTGATGCTCTCCTGTTTCTGGGGGGACGGACTGAAAGGGCGGCACTTGTGACTCTCGAACTGTCCATGGGCGACGGTAGTCACTTACCATCAGGTGAGTCATTTGCTCATTTGCGTTACACGACAAAAACCTTGTAAGACCGTCACGTATACTAGTACAGTCCAACTTCTTTTTTATTTATGCCTTTTTGAATCAATATTGAATCAACCTTGTGGTTAGAATATAATATGGTACATAGGTTTTTTATTATATTGCATCGACACGGAACAAATTATTGTTGTTACCTCAAAAATAACTGACAGAGATGGAAATCCAATACACTGATATTGTATTTTATAATGTCAAACTCAATAAAGAATTAGCTACTAAGAGCCTACTTCCGCGCTGATAATCAAAAGATCCTAATCGTAATATCGCCAAAGTTAAAGAAGGAGAAATAAATTTATGTATTTTATACATATTTCGTTATGTATGTTACCTTTATTTAATTAATATATAATTGTTTTATAACACATGTATGTGACGTTTCACTTACAATCTCTAGCGAAGCTCTACATGCGTAGTTGTGACGCGTAACGGATTGGCCCTCCTATGAACTCTATGTATTTATAAGCTGTAATGATCCTTTCTTCTTCAGTCACGATTGTATCACTGTCCTGAGCACATTGGTCTCTACTTCTATTAAGACATTTCTCTCAAGAGTGAAATTTAGTAATTTTTGAATAAGTTTCAACATAAATAATAATCAATAGAAGGAATTTGGCGGAACCCTCTTCAAAAGTAAACCGGTAAGTTATTTTGGAAATTGACCAAGTACGGCTTTAAGTTTTAAAGTTCACCATGTTCCAACCACGAATATTTTGTTCTTATTAAAATTAAGTGGAAAGCATTCTTTTTTTATTTTCGGTGAACTACATGTACGCGTGAAAAACTAAGCATTAATTAGATATCTAGTTTGAAACAATTCTTAACAACGTTACTTTGTTTGCAGATCATGTTTATCCTGACTGTCTGTATTGTGGGAGTAGCCGTGGCAGGAGTTATCTATCTCCGTCAGATCTACTCAGCCTTCAGCAAGTATGGAGTCAAACACATCACCCCGTTACCTTTGGTCGGGAACATGGGCAAGCAGTGCCTAGGCTTAGAGCACTTCGCGGATCACATAACAAGATTATATAACAAGTTCCCGGAGGAAAGGTAACTTAATTTCTTTAAAAAAATATATTAGTGCACTAAGAGTAAGGTGAAAAATTGTCCTAACAATATTTCTGAAATTTCACATGAGTGCTTTGTTTAACATCTAAATTACGAGTATGTTTTTATAACAACACAGTGATTTGTATAAAATTGTTTGTCATTGATATGTTTTATTAGTTTACATTTTCACACATATTTATTTGAAAGCTCAAGTAGAAACGTGAATAATGTACATGTCTCAAGAATTCAGTTTCAAAGCATATTAAACATTTTCAATAAGTAAGATATTTCATAAGCAATAAAGTTAGTATTTCAGGTGTTAAAATATCGATCATCTACTTTTCAGGTTTGTCGGAAGATTTGAATTTGTAAATGAATTGGTGGTCCTCCGAGATCTGGACCTGATTAAGCGGGTGTTCACTAAAGACATGGAGTGCTTCGATCACCGCTCGCCCTTTAGTGAAGTGATTCTTTCTTCGGTAGAAATCTGTTTGCTTTAAACGGTGAGTTTTAATATGAAATGATAAGAAATTTTAACTACATTCAACTTACAATACGACCAGTAAACAATTGATCAAGTTTCTCATATATCTCCTGTATTTCTTTTCCAGGTCAAGAATGGAAGAAAATGCGTGCTACATTGAGTCCGGCGTTCACTGGCTCCAAGATACGCAAGATGGTGCCTTTCATAATGGAAGTGGGTGATCAGATGACCGCAATGCTGATGAAAAAGATGAAATGAATCGGAAAGTAAGTGCTGGAAGAATTCAGATGTTTTTTAGCAAAACACAAACTACTGTTTTGATTTATAAATTGTATTCGTCCTCAGAAAAAAATAACGAAAATGTTGTAATATGACGTTCAATATTATGTTTTAACTCAGAATATATGTGAAATTACCTTTACTTACACAATACATGAAACATCGTTAATTGCTCACTATCTTCTACGTCTGGTTCACAGCTGGCTATATCAACATTGATTGTGAAGAACTCACATCGAGCTACGCAAACGATGTCATTGTCTCCTGCGCTCTTGGGCTTAAAGTTGATTCTTACAAGGATCCGGAAAACCCGATTTATGCAAGAGGCAGGGAATCTGCAACTTTTGGCTTTCGCGAAGTGTTCATGTATTTCCTAATTTCAAATTTGCCCTCATTGGCTAAGGTGAGTTTACTGATATTTCTTCCATTTAATAAGAACCATATTTCAAATGACTACAGATAAAACAGTTAAGCACATACGAATTTTCATTCGTATTCGTACACTTTTTCTTGCGAAAACTTTTTTTATCAACGTCAATCACACTACAGTTCTAACTGTGATATTTTTACTTTCAGATCTTTGAATGGGATATCCTGTCAGAGGGCTGTAAGGAGTTTTTCAGGAACTTAGTGTTAGATGTCATTAAAGACCGCGAGTTGAAACAGATAGTCAGGCCTGATATGATCCACTTACTTATGGAAGCTAAGAAAGGTACTATTTTTTACTGTTTACGTTGATTTAAAGCAATATATAAAAGCTATAATAATAATAATAATAATCATTTATTACAAACTCAAAATCTATGAAGTTTCAAATAATCTCGTTTGAAAACTGTAATATTGACGTGCTATAACTGAGCTTTTTGAAGATGAGATTAAAATTTGCTCCCTGTCTATAACTAATTCAAAAGTAATTCAATGTCAATATTTTGCAGGTAAATTGTCAGACAATACGTCGAAATCAGATAAAGCTAATACTGGATCTGCAATGTTTGAACCATCCTGCTGTCACTACAAGACAAACGGAAAACGGTAATAATCTATTTAATATAGTTTAGAGTAATTTCAACAACAATTATTTGATAATTAATGTAGTTTAAGAACAATTTTCAGAAAGGTAAAAACAAGTTTTTTTTGACAGTCTTGACCGATGACGACATCATTGCTCAAATCTTGCTGCTCTACCTTGAAGGGCTTCGGAACGGTATCTATCTTGATGAACTTCTTGCTATATGAACTGGCTGTCAACTCTGACGTCCAAGATCGACTGGCTAAGGAGATAAGAGAACATCACGCTCTTAATGGTGGCAAATTGGACTACGACTCTCTGAAAAGTATGCCGTATCTAGACATGGTTATATCAGGTAAGATTTCTTATCGACTAATAATAAAATGTGATTAACGCTTTCAATCGTGTTATGAATTGCAATGTGATGCTACCTATAATTGGTAATTTTAAATTAACTTTGACAAATGAAATTTTAAAATTTTCTTCACATGTGAATAATATTCTTTTTTACTAATTCTTTCAGAGGTTATAAGACTGTGGCATCCATCTATCATCCTAGACAGAGAGTGTAACAGAGATTACGACTTGGGTAAACCCAACAAGGATGCTGATAATGATTTTATTGTAAGTAGTACCTAAGGTCTAGTAGTACCTGACATACGGTTTTCTTTATAGGTTTGTGAATATTAATATGATATTTTCTTTTTTTTAGATCAAAAAAGGAACCAAAATTATGATTCCAATTCATGCTATACATCGTGATCCTCAATACTTTTCTGATCCGGAAAAGTTCGATCCCGAACGCTTCTCTGCGGAGAACAAACATAAAATGCACCCATCGGCATATATTCCTTTTGGAATCGGACCGAGAAATTGTATCGGTAAGTAATAATTGCTGTCTACACTCTATGTATTACTTAGAAATTTATTTGCACATGTTTACTTACTACATAAACATAAAGCTTACGTATTTTATTTTTTAATTTCAGGTTTAAGACTCGGCCTGTGCGAGATGAAAGCGATTACTTACCAGATTCTGTTAAATATGGAAATATTACCAACGGAGACAACTTGCATCCCTGCCAAGCTGTGTCCCAGCTCTCTAAGCCTCAAGTTGGAAGGTGGACACACATTAAGGTTTAAATTAAGAGCTCACACTTGAAATCCTGAAACTGCAGTTACTGAAACATTGGGAACAAGATGGCTGAACTGACAAAGTGTAGCACAGTTTTGAGAAAAAATGAAGAGTTATTTCAGATTGTCACATGTACTCTGTTTACTGACTCGTACATATTAAATGTCAAACAGTTCTCAGGTAGTTTCGAAAACGTTTGTGTACTTAGAATATCTTGGTTTATGTTGTTTATTATTAAAATGTATAAATTTTTATGTAAATCGTTAGTCTTTACAAGTATTAATATTGATGTATGTGAATCATTAGAGTCATTCGTAGCTTTTGGAGAAATCTTCCTGATCTTCTGTATTAGTTTGCGTAGCTGTGAAATAAATTAATATATGCAATTATTTTTTTGGTTTTATTATATATCAATAGTCGTTTTATTCCTTCCTTTCTATGGAGAGGCCTATGTTCACCAGTGGTCTATTAAAAACTGTTGATGAAAGTCGTTTTATATGTCAACACGATCTTACATTATTATAATTATCACGTGGCTTTGGATAACCTGCCCTATAGACCAGATTGAATTAATCGTGGTCAGAAATTGCCTGATCTCAGACTGTAAATTTCGGCATTCTAAATGTTTATACATTATCAAATGCTTAATGTAAATGAACAAGAAAGATTTGCTTAACATCGGTTGCTTGTGAGGTCGTGAAGTTCGAGGACACAAAAGAGCCTTGACTGAGGAAAATACAGACATTACCATTTACGGTTATACAATTCTTATGACGTTTTGAAATCTTTCAGAATTAGTCATTGTTATAGGTGTAAGTGAGGGTGTCATTACGTTGACAGTTTTTAGTTGCTGTTACAGAGTTAGTACGGCGTTATTATTACTTAAATAACACAGAGATTATTCATTCGTTGAAACGAATAAAAGGTTTAGAGATCATAAGCCACTTAGTCTGCTGAGTTTTCCAAGATTTCTGTCGATTTGTGTTAATTAGAGAGAGAAAAAAGAAGTATTAAATTTGAAGGAAGGACTCTTCATTAATATTAACAACATTTATTCTATTTAGTTAAATGTAAGCTCTGCTCATAACTGTAAGCGTCCATTACTTTACATCAGAAATGACCAATGCTCAAACACCTCAGTGGTTGAGGGAAATTACAGGACAAAATTCGACATTATAACATGATTCTGAATATATATAATATAGATAAAAAATAAATAAAAAAACTTAATAATCTGCATGTTTGTGACACACAGTGATCAACTTAAATGAATCATTGAGCCATAACCATAACGGACCTTTGATACGATCATTATATAATATTCTCATCACACAATATAGTATCATCACATAACATCATCAGTGTGGCATGATAATTAGTCTACGGAGACGATATAGCTATAATTCGCTTAATTCAAGAAGATCCTAAGAAAAATTCGCCGGTTTTAACACTAAGAGCCTACGAAGTACTGACCTTATTACCGTGGCATGGTAACCAGTCTACAGATACTGTACTTTTAATGTGCTTCTATTCAGAAGCCTTCAAAATGAGAAAAATAATGACATCACATTATTTTTCTTAAAAATATTGTGTAAAATAATATTACACAATATGATGATGTTGCAATAACTAATATTTATTGAATATGAAACAATTTACATAGAGTTTTACATAATATTGAGTATACTAATATCTGGATGACAATGGGGGTATATTTCACAAAATCTTTTTAATATTATTGCACATAGATATGCGAGCATGTGGCATGCTTACTTATGTTTTAATTGTAGCCAAAATACGTTCGTTTTGTATGGCTACAAAGTTTATTCAACAATCGTTACATTAATGCGTTATAAAGCTATCTACCGAAAGTGTTAGTGTCAATAGCAATTACAATTCTTATGTTGCTACTGTTACATAACCATGAACACTTTGTGATTAAATGGCTAATTTATTTTTGTAGGAGCCTCAACATTCAATAAAATACAATTAATTTTAAATATTTACACTATTTATGTAATGTCATGGCCAAGGTCAACTCCTATCCCAATAGGAAAACGTACGTCTAAACGACACACCTTCAGGAAAAAGGTTCAAAGGAATTACAGAATTATTAAATATATAACTTATAACTAATCGAAGCTGAACATGAGGACTGATCTCCTTTAGTTTTTACCAATTCCTAACATATTTAGTGTTATTGAAAACTATTGAGGAAAACAAGACATTTACAAAAAAGAAAATCGTGTCTATTTAACAGTAGGCGTCAGACACACATTACATACTACTCGATAGTGGCAATGATTTGCATGAGCAGGAATGCAATCACTTCTGATCTAGTACCTGTTAATACATAATAGTTAATGAATATGCAACAATACATATAATGACAAATACATAGATACACAGCGAAAGAGTTGTAAATTTTATTTTGATGAAACGAAGAAATTATCATAAATTCTTTAAATGTACTGAAATAAAATTTAATCGTGCAAATCGTTTGATAACAAATGGATACTAAGTGACGTAATATATTGGACCGCCGCTACTTTGTTCGGTAGCTGTAAAAGTTGCAGTTCACTGATACAGAAGTACTTTGTCTAAGGAAAAGACGTCGACGACGTTGTGACGTCCTCAAACTCCCTCTCAGCATTAGTCACAATCATGAACGCGTAGGTCACGGCTGTTATATTACTTGAAAGTGATTATTATTTAA